GTGTGTGTGTGTGTGTGTGCGCGCGTGTGTGTGTAATATCAACTACAAAAATTCTTATAGAATGCGTTTTAGGTGAATGAAAAAAACTTTTGACTTGTACAAAAAAGTTGCAAAATAAAGCTATTTAACCTAAACTCATTGTTAAGCATAAAAACATGAAATGTAGTATAGTTTCTCTTTATGCAAAGTATTATCAGACTCGTATAAAGCCCTGTACATTTTCTAGAGATTTCTGTCAAACGCATTTCATAAACTTGCGATTTACTATTTTATGAGAAGTTTATAAAGTAAATTCAGATTTATAACATTGAGTTACACTGTTGTTAAACTGATGTTATGTTTTAAACGTATTTATAAACCTACACAGTAGAGCTCCCATTCAATTACTGTATGCACGTGGAATTGTTGTAATTAATTAAGGACTTGTCTTCTGTCCATTATGTTTCTGCATAATATACAAAACCATTATTATTATTTTTTTATAACAAAATAATTTTTTCTATACGATAATTTACCATGTTAGTGGAACTCCAGGTTCAAGTTCTTGAATTTTTCATTAAAAAGTGTTTATTTCTAAATCAATCAATATTACCTTCACGGATCCATCTAATTCAACTTTGGAGAAAAACAAAACAAACAACATTAAACGTTGACATACATATAGTTATGGTGGTTTAGGGGGGGGGGGATATATATTTATAATTTTGAAAACTATAACTTTGACATAAAAGTAGGGAACCCCGTGTTCTGTCTCGTGCATAGATCTAGGCAGAGATAAATATACAACGACTGGTAAAATAACGAATGATATTAATAGTTTATTTTTCAAATCAACATTATTTCTCAGCTGAAAAGCCCGACACAATGAACAACCTCACACCCTAACATGCTATAATCTCACCAGTAAAGTAATTGTCAGCACTTGCGTATGTCGACGAATTAAGAACAGTAAATAATAACTTACCGGCGGTATATACCTGGAGGAATCATGGTGTGGCCGAAACGAAAGGCAGCTGATTGGAAGACGTGACTGATGCCTGGATGTACGTCCGGCTTGTAACCTGTAATGAACAAGGAACTTAACTTGTTACAAATCGTAACAATTCACACCACGTATGTCATCTGTTAAGGGTTCATTTAAAACGAACGAAAAAAAAAATATAAAAAACGAAAAACGGCCGGCATACTGAGAAATAATTCTAAACAAATATATATTAATTTTTTATAACGTGGGCGAAGAAGAAAAATATTAATTTTTAGCTTTTGAGAGACAAAAAAAAAATGTGTGATACACTTAGAATAATTAATTATAAACTTAAAACAATTTAAAAAAGTATTGAGCAATTATATGAAATATTTTAAAGAATTTATATATTATTAACTTGGGGTATTGGTGTTATTCAAGAATGTTTATAAGAGGCAGCCACAGCGAGAAACAAATCAGTCACAATCTTGAGTTTGGAAAGTCTTGTCCACGGTAAAGCCTGGGACAGTTGGTCATCATCATACCAGGACTGTTGTATTTGTTCCTAGTACGTATTCAGCACGAGAAGATAGTTAATAAATGAATGTATGTGTGTGTACATTTATTTATTGACTACTGTTATAAAGTTTCGAATAGGCCACAAGTTGACCACCTTTATACATTTATTTATTTATTTATTGACTACTGTTATAAAGTTTCGAATAGGCCACAAGTTGACCACCTTTATACATTTATTTATTTATTTATTGACTACTGTTATAAAGTTTCGAATAGGCCACAAGTTGACCACCTTTATACATTTATTTATTTATTGACTACTGTTATAAAGTTTCGAATAGGCCACAAGTTGACCACCTTTATACATTTATTTATTAACTATTGTTATAAAGTTTCGAATAGGCCACAAGTTGACCACCTTTATACATTTATTTATTTATTGTGTAAATATTCAAGTACCACCTACCGCTATAATTTGATATTTCTTCTCCCAGTAAAACAGGTACAAATTCATACATTATGATGTTCTGAAAAACAAAACACCATACAAGTTGAGAATACCCAACATACATGCTAGTCTTTTACATACACAACACACACAAAAAGCGTAATTCAAATCTTACTTTTAAGTTTACTTTAGAAAAATGCAAAATAAAAATTTTATACGGAACTTGATTTTTTCAATATCAACTATATTAAACTAATTATGCTTATCAAGATTTGAAAGAAAATGTTACACCGATCACAATTTATTTTCTTAGTTGTATGATATTTTCAGATACCATAACTCCTCTCAACATAAATACTTTGTCAATTTAAAAAACTAGAGACAAAAGAGTATAGTTGTAGTCTTTACATAATGAAATTTCACGTTTTGTAATCTAATTAAACAACATTAATCCTAAAAGTCTTAAGTTTTCACAGCAATGCGCCAAGAAAGAGGAGGTGCTAATTTAGTGGCTCAGAATTGTTTGTTTCCAAGAAGTAGTCGTTCCAGCTTAGTGACACACTTGATATAGTTGGTTCCATTACGTCACACTTATTTCTTTTGAACTTAGCACAAGGAACATCGTAAATATTTCTACAAGACTCCGCCCTTTTAAACAATCAATATTATTTATACATGTGTGGTTGAATATATAAATTCGTAAACTCTAGAATCACTGGAGTTCTTAACACTAATGTATTACACAACTTTCTCCGGTATTTATCTACCTATTAACACAGCTTACTATTGTCGATCCCTTGGGGCAAAATAATGTTTAGAAGTTTTTTTTCTTTTTTAGATATTATTAACTGCTATTTAAACTTAAATACCAGAATACAAGTCCTGACTCTGAAGCAAACATAGCTTTAGGCAAATATTTATGTATAGTTATGGAACTATTACAGTTTTCTTATGGGCAGTAAAGGTAAATGTCGTTTTTAAAATATTTTTAAGCGTGTTTTTTTCCCACGATTTTTTATTTTATTTTTACAGACTATCAAATACTTCTGCTCCAGACTTGCACGCGGCCAAGTGTTTCATTTGCTGTGATCGTGAAAGGAAACGATTAATACGCCTGTCAAAATTGAGAAAGCGGAATTTCAACCGGCATCAGCTTAACATCAAAACATACGATGACAAGTAAATATAGTGTTCACTCTGGTATAACAGATCATATCTGGTTCACTGGGAATTAGTTAACTGTTGGGTCCTGCTGGTTCGTGAAACTTAGCAGAAATTACACCAGTGTAGTTCGAACACCCTCAGGAAGCAAGAGAAATTATTTGAAACGTTGTGAAATTATAAGATAGTCTATGCAACCAAAATGTGTATACATGCTTTTTAAACTATATTTATGTTCAAAATAAATACTGGTTTTATAATTAACAAGGTACTGTGTTCACGATGTTAAGCAACTTAATATTCCTTGTATAGTTTACGGAATAGTGGAAGCCGGAGATGTATCGGTTTTATCAAAACGGTTGTAGGACAACTGCCCCCCCATAGGGAAATTGTCCTCCGCAGCAATATCTCCTTATATTAATATAGCTGACTAAAATAAGGAAAAATAACATTTCTTGTATTTTATAGAAAAACGAATTATCTAAAACTGTTTAACCCTCTCACCCTGGCTATCCTCTACTGCGCATGTCACGAAGTTTTAGTGACTTACATTAAAATTTTAATTAAAGTACTATTTGTTTAAGTTATACCAATTAGTATAACATAAAATCATAGATAATAATCCATATTTTAAGAGTATATATATATACATATATATATACATATATATACATATATATATATATATATATATATATATATATATATATATATATACAAGTTTTAAATTCTTTAATTTTGTAAGGCAATATTTTTATAAAATATGAATTTCCCTACAAAACCGCAATTTGTTGGACTTTAAGAGGAATATCTGATAATTTACAGTTCTACTGTACTTACGTTATTATATAACTTTGCATAGTTCAACATTTTTTATTACAAACAAAATTTAACGTGAAACACCTGTGTTACTTTCTCCTACTTTAACAGTTTTAGATAATTCATTCTTCTATGTAATACAAGAAATACGTGCTTTTTTTTTTCTTTATTTTAGTCAGTTATATTAACAAGATATGGCTGCGGGGACAGTGTTCAGGTTAACCTATAAAACAGCGCACAGTAATAGTGTGTTTTTTGTTTTAATGGAATTATTTACAGGGCAATAGAAATCAGAGTTGTAAGGTCTATTAATATGACGGTTAGAAAGAGAGAGAGAGTCAGTTTTGTTAAGATTTATTAATTTAAAAGAACTATGTAGTTGTACGCAGTTTTTAAATGAAAAAAAAATAGTGTGTAATTTATCACGAAACTAATGGGTAAGCTTCTCTTCTAAGCTCATGATTTATAGGTTAATAGTAACATAAAACATTTAAGACTGTTTTAAGTGAACTAAATAAACGCTACAAGATGAGAGAATAGTTTTAGAATACCTATAAAAGAGGATTTCATACAAAGAGACGACAGGAAACTAAAAACAGAGTTTTAATGGTTGGCAAGCGTAGGTAAACTAAATTTCGGATTGCTACAAAGAGTACAATGTATAGGATCACAGAATACAAAACTGTTTATCTGCCAAAGGCCACGTACGCTTCTCTCTCGTAAATCGTTCATATAACATTCAGTTTAATCAATAATATCAAGTTTCCTCCTAAATATTAGGTTTTATTCATTAAGATTTTATTATCATCCTACAAACTTGTTAGTTAGTATTTCGTTAAAAATGGCAAACTAAATTTGCTTTACTGTGAATGAATATTTTAATGGATTCGTTCAATCCAGTTTTGAAAGTCCTTTCCCATAAAAACAGTATACATACACATACCAAAAAAGAAGGTCTATTCTCAATCGTGTCAATAAAGAAATCCATAGAAAAACATTATATACAAGTAATAAAATAATTTGGAAGAAAAATAAGTATGATGTAGGGATGGCAGTGCCAAAAACTGCAGAAACAAGGAAGGAAGGAATACATCAAGCTATATAAAAATCCCTACATAAATAACCCAATATTTCCAAGAAACACTTTTATCTGCAACTAAATGTTGAATTATTTTCATTTGCGTGAATTCAGGTTTGAATAAAAGTATTTAAACTGAATAATACTATAAAGTCTTACAATGGATAATTCCTATAAGCTTGTAACATTGACTGAGTAGCTACTTAAGTAGGGATTTCTGTAAGGTTTTGGGAATTCATCCATACCTCGTTTCTGTAATTTTTAGCACTTCCATCCCTACATCAATTTTTTTATTATTTGTTTCCCTCTATTTAATAAACAATACCTATGAATATTTTATAACGAAAGACAGTCGCTATGAAGGCAGCAGTTTTAGCATGGTGTGATGAGTTGTCTTGATGGACATCATGTGTGTTAGTGAAAGGCTATACTGCTCCTGCACTCCCAAAGTTAAAATACAACTTTTTGGTGTGCAAGACCTCGCAACAACTTCAAGCAATAGTGGGCTAACCCTTCTGACCCCAGAACCAGAATAATCAACAGAACATTTGGCGGTTACACTATTTACCAGTTCTCTACTTTACAGACTTTTTTTTTTTTTAAGTCTTCATAGCTTTTGAAAACCTAAGTTGGGTGTTCATAAAAGTCTCTAAGGCTGCTACAAGAGATATTTGAGACTATGATGAGCAATACACGATATACGTCAGCCATGTTTTTCCCGGCCTATCCCTACATATTAAGCACCATAGCGCTTAGTGATAAAAGACTTCGTCTACAAAACTACACAGTAACATTAAAATATGTAATTAAAATAACAGAGAATGAGTTACTTAGTATGTGTCTAAAACATTGATTACTTTTAGTAATGAATACCAAGTTAATTCATTTAGCATATGTGTTTCTATACACGTCACACAACTCTCTGAATATATCAGGTAACGTTGGATGTTTATATCATGTTTAGCTTAAAAGGTAAGAGGCAGTAAAGATCTAGTGTAATAGTATATGAAGCTAATCCAGTTATTTAATGTTTCTCATCGGCGTTTTGTTTTTTTCTGTTTAACTTTCTCACCCGATTCCTCTAGGGAGTTTCAAACACCGAACATCAGGGAGTATCTCTAAAGCTAAGTTTGGTAAACTAGGATTTTTCTCTAGTGTATACACTCATGACTAATACACATTAAGTATCAAGAAATCTGCTGACAATATTTCGCTGTTACCAACTGACAAGAAACGTTCATACTTCTGAACAGCACCTTCCCTTTGCAGATACTAGAACACTGTTACTAATGTATCACCAGCATCTACAAACTAAGCACGGATGAATAATGTAAGTTACCGTTGTATAAGTTGCCACTTACTTTCTAAATAAAATGGTTTTGAAAATATACAGTTCTGGATGTTGATGTCATTTGTACCTCAAGCGGTTTTATTCACCACAATAACTGAAGCCGTCCATCAGATTCTCTATTTTATTTGTAGATGAAGTTTACGTAGCACGTGATTCAGCTGAGGTTGCTAAAAGTACTCAAATATTAATATTCATTTATTTCCCCTACAGTACGTGCCTAAAATGTTTCTCCACAGAAGCCATTACAAAATAAACATTATGTTGAAGTCAGCAGTTAAAATGAATATTAAATATACATTACATTTAAAATAAATTAAAATACCTTCATAATTGTACGTTTCACAACCCGCTGATGACTTTACTGGCAAAACCATGGTCTTAATAAATGGTGTATTTGTGAAACGTACAGTTGTCTTGTTATATAGGTAGTGCTGGGTGAAAATGGGAAGCGACAGCAGAGACATCAGTACATTATATAGGTCTGTGATCAACATATACTTTACAGAGGAATGCTATTTATAAGTTTAAGAATATATTTTTCGTATTGCATTTTGTCTATTTTTTTTTAACTGCGGTTTATCACCCCGATACTACAGATTTCCATTCCGAAGTTTTGATTTGGAAGAGCCTCCAACCATGGCATGACATACGACAGTAAAAAGTCGTATTA